ATGGGGAAATTTGCTTCAGGGTGCGACCAATTCGGGGTGCAACCAGAGTCACGGAACGAATTAAGTTCGTAAACCGAGGTTCCACTGTACAAGGAATATAGTATATGAGTTTCTTTTAGCATATTCCTTTCCTCTGATTACATGTTCATCTTTCCTTTATCATATCCATTTGGGATTACAGGGAGAAGGGTGAAAGTGATTTCTCAGCATGCTTATAAAACGCCAGGCAGGTGCTGATGTTCAAAATCTGGGCAAAGTGTTCAAAAGAAGCAATCGCCTGAGATGTCTCTCTCTATTTTTTTCTTTTAGCATTTAAAGCAGCAGCAAGAAGGACTAAGCCACCTGATCAGTATTATAAAAGACGACCTGGAAGACATAAAGCTGATAGAACATGGCTTAAATGAGAGCATCCCAGTTAGAGGGGGTGTCTTCAGTTGATTGACTGGTCCTTTCCATTGACTGTATGGGCATGTAAAACATGTTGCTTTCCTTGACTGAAATCCATTGGGTGGTTCTTTGGACCATTAACCTTAGTGTAAGTTCCAAGAGAGTGCCAAATGCTTGGCATTCAACACTGAAGGTCAAAAGGCTAAAGGTTTAGAAAGCTGCACTTGATTTTAAGGTGGAAAGATACTTTAGATCACGGTTTCTCAACCTTGGCAGCTTTCAGATGGGTTGACTTCAACTCCCAGGAGTTCTGGGAGTTGAAGTCCACCCATCTGAAAGTTGCCAAGGTTGAGAAATCCTGCTTTAGGTACTCCTCTGTGATCTAACCCTGCATTTCTATTATGTCAACTGTGTCTCATTTTGTTTTTCTGAACAACACTTCCTGTTGTTCAACAGGAACACTGTTAAACTATTGGTAGGAAATAACACATCTTCTCTATATCAGAAGCAACACAAAACAACTCGTTTGGTATACCTTGTGAATCATATGCTTTAAAGGCGAAACACATCTGCCCAATGTTTGGGGGCAAGCTGTGGAAAGAAGTGCACAGGTGAAAGGTGTTTTTCCCTTTTCTTAACAATGACAACCAAAAACGTATCGTATTATATCATTTTACTTCATCAGACTTTATAATATTACTCTTCTAAGAGGTAATAAAATCAGTGCTTCGTTTTTGTTATCCAGCCATATGCTCTTTGTACTGGATCACTTGTTTTGAAAATAACTGCAGATGCAAACTGTGTCTAGGAGTCTTAATCCTCCCTAATCAGCATTTATATTGGCCCACATAGCCTCTGAGATTCAGAGCTACCAACATCCCTGTCCACCCACCCCCTATGCCAAGTGATACAACAGAAGCCTACAATTGAAGCACTGCCTGTTGCTTCAACATCCCTCTTGTAATGCAAGGCACAGTAGAGTTATTGTGACCTCTGGTGTTATATTTCCTGAAGTGAAGGCGAAAATGAAATCCTTACAAAAGTTTTTAAAAAGAGCATTGCTTTACTGTAGCAGAGAGCTAGCTGTGTGAAGATGTTAGCTGCTGTTTTTTTAGCCAAAGAACTGGGGCTGAGGGAATAGCCACATCAGCATGCTATCCTTCATTCAGATTTCTTGGCATGGTGAAACAGCACTTCTGCGTTTTAGTATTTTTCCATTTGTTGTTGTTGTTAATTGCACCAGAATAGTGATGGTAGACTCTCAGCTCATCAATGCTTACACTTACGCTTCTTGGTATCCCTCCAGAATACAGAAAAGGTAACCCGTATGTGTGCAGCCAAAGGCAAGTGGTGAAACCAGGCACTTGAATTGTAGCTGCTATCAAGTTTTCCAATGGTGGTTGCTGAGTATATGAAGAGTGGCCAGGAGACAGTGCAGTTTTAAGGCAGTTACAAAAACCCTGTACTTAGCTACAGTCAAATGAATTCTCATGCTTTTTTCCCATGCTAGTCTTGCAAACACTTGCAGCAAAACAAATGTTCTCCAGAGTGATAACATCTGCCTGCCAGCACACTTGTAGGAGGATTTTCTGATGTTACCAGTTTGGCAAAAGGATTTTGGTCAATGGCAGTAAACATATTTGCCTGCTGGAAGAAGATGGATGGGTGAAGAAAGATTAATTGGTCTCCTTCTTAATTTAATAGCCTTTTAAAAATAAAAGGTCCAAAAGGAGGCCAAGGAGAATGAAGGCAAAGTTAATGGATATTGAGGATTGGAACCCACACTTAAGATGGAATGAAAAACTCTATTTTTGAAATTTAGATTAGCAATTCTGGTTAGGACCAGTTTCTACTACTCTTCTATGTTAATGCCTGTGTATAGTGGTTTTGAAAAATTAACTCTGTATAATGGTTTTGAGAAAATCAGGGACTGTCAGACAAATCTACATATAAATAAAATAGTCTTGAAACAAAGATACTGTTTGTTTTTGGATAGATACGAATGTATAAGAGTTAAGTTTAAAACTTGTTTTGCTAATGCATTCATCAGCCAACCTTGGCAATGATAACATAGCCTTTTTTTATTAGACCCGTTAAAGTTGTAATGAAAAGGAAATCTCCAGTCGTTGGATACAGTTGATAAAACTTTATTTATGCTGTATTGTGCTTTAAAATGGAGTAAGATATTAAAAGAAATGCATTTTATCTGAAATGTTTGCATTTTCTTAAGCACTTTTTAAAAAGCTTCAATGCTTGAAAGTTAAAGTGAGAGGGAAGATTTCCAGTTTCTTCTGATGTCAAATTCAGGAAAATTAAAAATTGCTCCATTTGTAGCAGTAAATAATTCACCCTTTGGAGTTAGTTCAGAGGCACATTTTGGGATAAAAGATGGGTATGGAAGTAGCAACCTGGAGTGTTTGCCATTTGAGACAGTGGACCTTATCCACCAGCCCAGCCCATGTGGCTTTGATTTTTATCAGGAAGTCGGTTGTCTGACCAGGCGGAATGCCTCAATGAATTCATTGAAGTCGATATTCCCATCTTTATTGAAATCAATGCTACGGGCCAAATCGTTGATGTTTTCATCTGAGATATAAATATTCATATGGGAACTGAACAGCTTCCACATTTGATGAAACTCTTCAAGAGAAATACATCCTGTGGGGTGAGAACACAGGATTAGCTTTCTTGAGATGGGGAGGTTGGAAATAAATACAACAGTTGTACAGTCTTCAAATCCTTGGGACTCAAAAGAAACAATTTGATGGGCATAATCCCACTATCGGGAGTGTCTGTCGGGGAGGGAGCCAAAAAGTCAAGGGGGCAATTACAACTATGTGATTCAAGCTCTGCCACTTTTTACATGCACATAATGCACTTGAAAAAGAGGCGGGTTTTGATTACGTGATTATGGCTGCCATCTTGACCTTTCTTGTTGCCTACAAGCCACAATCAAATCTATATACAGTGGTACCTCGGTTCACAAACGCTTCTGTTCACGAACAATTCGGTTCACGAACAGCTCCGTTCGCAAAATTTTGCCTCCGCGAACGCCGGATCGGGTTACGAACAGGATCCGTGGCAATTTCCCCCCCCGTGCCACGTGGTCGTGGCTTCCTGTAGGGAGGGGGACTCTCCCTCCAATCAATATCCGCCTCCCCACCCGCCTTCCTG